AGTAAATGTTATCCATTTTAATTATTTGAATTATCCATCACTTCTAAAGAGTCCAGTCACTTCTCCCAGTAGAAGCCTTCTAGTTTCATGATGGGAAAAGTTATTTGTCAAGCATTGTGCCTATTTTCTAACATCTCCTGGTTCCCAGTGTAAATAGTGAACTTCTGAATAGCGTTTTGACCTAAATAGTGTTTTGACTAATTTTTTAGCTCTATTCCCACCCAGTCACTCCCTCAGTGTTGGGGAGCCACCAACATAGTAACCTTCATATCTCAGTTGACTGAAGGGCAAGAAAATTGCCATGGAGCATGAAAAGCACAAGCCAGAGATGACTGGGAGCTTTCAGGGAGTGTCTGCACCACCTCAGGTGTACAGAGGCCCACTCCCTCTCAGGGCTAAGACCCCCTTTGTATACACTTACAGGACTGCTACATAGCTGCCTAAAGCCACAAATAAGATGGAAACCATCTTCATCTTCCTCCTCTTCTCTGAGAAAGCCTACTTAAGGAAAGGAGCTGCATACTAAATATACAAGTCCTAGAAATAAGCCTTATTATAGGGACTTGTTTGCTATCACTCAATGACAGCTATTGCTTATGTTCTTCAGAGGAGAGATTCCAGATCTTCCTGTTAATGTAAAACCTTTCTATTTTATCATTTCAAATGGCACTTATATATTTCCCCTGCACACAGACCAACACACGTAGAAAATGTACATTACAAATGTTATGTTATTTTTTTCAAATTAAATCATTTAAAATGTGGATTCATGATCTCCAAATCAACTGCAAAATACTCTTTAAGCATTTCCTGAATGACCGCAAGGCACTATTGGGAATTTATGAAAGGAATAAAATGAGGTGCTAGACTTAAGGATATTCTTAGATACAAAGAAAACACAGAGTACTAAACTGGATGGTTTAATGATAAAGTTTCCGGTTAGGAAGGATTGTGATGATACCAGCCTGCAGTAGCAATAACATGGCAGAGAAAAAATGGGCTCTGGACTAGACGAGAAGCCTCCTGGATGGGGCTTGGGAGTGAACTAGGACTTGAAAGATGGGAACAGAATGGGGAAGAGAGTGAGAAAAACATCATAGAGTTCATATTAGGATGTAAAGAATCCAACTTGATTGCAGCCTGGCTCCCAGAAGCAGGTTTCAAGTGACCAGGATGGCCATGGACTGTAGGAGTTCTTACATCAAGCAGAAATGCTTTAATCAACCTTGGCTGCATTAGAAAACCAAACGGGGTGCTTTTAAAGCCACACAGGATAGATTATTTTAGAATCTGAGATGACCTTGGCATAGGATTTTTAAAAGATCCCTGCTGATTTCATTGTATAACCAGTGGTTGAGAACCCTATCACAAGAGCTTCTGTAAGTTCTGGTGGAAAAGAGCAGTGTTCAAAAGTCATGACCCAGTTATTATTGTACTTCAGGACTGTACACAGCACTTTCCCTTCCTTCCAGTGGACTTGAAACCAAATTTAAACTTTTCTCAAATGACTCTACCTGATCATGTCACACTAACTATATTGACTCTAGATGGCCTTTATATTTGGATATTTATTTAGGGTGACCCAAAATTCACACAAGATTTGCAACTCAATTCAACTGCAAATCTTGTGTGAAATTTGGGACACCCTATAAAAACACAGGCTTAGCACTCTAGACTAGCAGGATCTTAAAGATTACATGTGACTCCAGATAGATTCTCTGTCCAACAGAACAAAGTATTAAACAATGAATGAGCACACTCATGCATAACATGTGTATTTCAGTTAGTGAAAAAGTTTCAATCAAGCATCATTCACACAGAGTGGTAACATGTTAAGTATCTGACCTGTGTTTCCTTGCAAGGTTTGAAGGAGAAGTTCTGCAGAACTCTGACGAGAGCAATTTTCATGTTCATGAGAGCGAACCTCATTCCGATGCAGTTTCTGGGTCCACTTCCAAAGGGTGTGTATATGTAAGGATTTATCCTGTCCTTGTTCTCCTTGCTAAACCTGGTTATAAACCAGTAGATGCAAACAATTACTGAAACATAAACACCACAAGAGCTACATGTTTGCATTT